GGGTATGAACCTATCAAGCAACAACTCTTTCATCTGCAAAGACAAAAATCTATATGAAAATATGGGAAGGGTGGAATTCATTGCTCTTTGCAGTTATACCAACAAGGAACAGATTATATTTTTTTTTTAAATCAAGAGTATAATTTCATTCTGCCTGCAAGGACTCCTTGCATTTAAAAACATTTCAAGCCGTCTATTTTATTTTATTCAAGTCAATGGTCTAGATATCCTAGGATTTTCATAGGATAAGACTAATGAAACTGAAATTCCTTTATGATTAAATCCCCTTCAAGCATATTTGCAACAATTGGGACTTGGTTACACAAGGAATTAATTTTTTAAGAAAATATGGTACCTCCTTCTATGTAGAGGAAGAGAAGGTCTTTCAGACCATGCCTGTACTTGTAATTCTCTGGTTGGGCACGACAGAATAAACCCTGAATGAGTATTGAGCTGAATAGCTTAAATCATCCTGTTCCCTCCACTGAAAAATGAAAGGTGGAATAAACCTCCTGCACCCGTCCTGCCCATGTGTGGCGTTAATCCCAGTGACAACTGACTGACAACTCCTGCCAGGGCTGCAGAGCCCAGAAGTTGTGCACCCCATCTCCTGTTTGGGAGCGCCGCTGCAGATCTCAGTTAAGAATCACCCTTTTCTCTTTGGTTTGTTTTTCCCCTGGTTGTGCGGAGTCATTTACTTTGCATTTGACTCAGACCACAAGGAGCTTTATTTTCACTTGTGACAGCTGCTCAGTGAGAGTGAAGCAGACAGTTCCTGCTTTGTTCTTACATCCCAGCACAGATAGGGTCTCGGCGAGTGCCTCTGCTGGTGCCCCGAAGAGCCCAGTTTCACAGGAGGTGGTAGAACAGGTACCTCACACGGTACTTGGCCTGTCTGATGCTGTGCCCTGTGATCAATTTGAAGCCCTTTAAAATAAAGAAAGGGGTGCTTACTGGCATTGGAGTCACCACTGCATTTTACTTGAGCTGGATCTGCCTGCATCATGCAGGGGTTTGTTTAGAGGTCTTCTGCTACCCTTCTAGCACGCATCCTCACCTCCTCGTGCTAGGATCCCATCTCTGTGCTTCCACATGCCCACCCCTTTCCCCGCTTATTGTCCCCCTTTATTCCAGCCACAATCTGAGATCTGCCACTTCTCTCATCAGGCTGCCAGCCCCCTTTCCTTCCACCCCCTAGGTGGTCTTCCACCCATTACCTGAGCAGAAACCCTAATGCCAGGACTGCCTGGAGTGTGACCAGGCTGGCAAGGTGGGAAATGCCGCCTGCCAGCTGAGTGCACGGAGCTGTCTGTGGGGAAGCACCCACCCCCAGCATGGGTAAGCCCCTCCTGTCGCAGCTGGTGCTCCGTACTGCTCTGAAGTGGTTCAGGTTGGACATGTGGGGACCTCCGAGCAGAGACCAAGTCCTTTAGAGCCAAGGAGCCTTTAGGAGCCAGGTTCTTCTCTGGCCAAGGCTGGCCTGATCCTCCCATATCTAAGTCTGAAAATGCCAGGGTTTGGAAGATCAAGGCAATGCAGGCTGAAAAAATCACTCTGTCTTTGAACAGTTTTATTTATCCACTTCCTTTGAGCTGTTCATTAATGACTAAGTAGTGTTTGAAATAACAGAAAAGATAAGTTTGGCTTTTCTTTAGGGCCATGCTTGAATATAAATCTATTTTAACATACTGTCTTTCCTTCCTCTGAGACGTTTGCTATCTTCTTGTGTTCAGAGCAAGAAGAAGGAAAGAAGCATATGCTGTCACTGTCCTTGAACTTCTCTGCAAAGCTGGCGCTGCTTCCCCTGCATTTAGCTCGCTTCTTGTTGGTTTGCCTGTCTGCCTAATGCATCGGGTTGCAGGAGGATCCCTTATAAAATGGAAACCTTTCCTGTGAGGCATTCCTTTCCATCCTGTAAAAAGTCTTCACTGTAACTTTGCTCCAGGCTTACTAACCACTTTGCACCAGAGTCATAAATTTGAATAACTTCATGGAAGAGGATTTGCCTGAAAGTGGGTCACACACAGCCCTCTTCAGACGGGGGCTGACACAGCGTGGTACAGTAGGCTTTCTCCTGTACAAAACTAAACTAGAGCAATTAGCTTGCTTGTTCTGCCACAAGCCTCACACCTCTAGCACTCCTGTTCACTTTGGTGCAGGTTTCAGGCCTGCAAGGAATGCAGCATTAGGATTGCTGTGGAGCCGTGCCTTCCCTGTGTCACCAGGCTCCAGACCTTTAACCGCTTACGTGCCCAGTTCAGGACCCCAACAGCAAGATGTTGCTCTGTGTTAGCTACTGTAGAGAGACAGACTTCTGCAGCTGTTAAGCCAACAATAGCTGCTTTTGGAGCGTCTGGGCTTTTTGTCTGAAGGCAAAGGTCCTCTGGCAGTTCTGTGCCCACCAGAGCTGACCTTGAGCTGCCTCCGTTGAATTTTGTGGTTCCTACCCATTTCTAGCAGGTGGGAAAGGACAGTGCCAGCTACAGGAGGAACTTTTGGCTTCTTCTGTTTGATAAAGAGAGGATTGTGAGGCTTTAAAGTTGCTTCTCTTTCTTTTTTTTTCTCCCTTAGCCTGTTTGTACAGCAACGATATTTTACTTCTGTGGTGCAGGCATTTTGCGGAACTTAATGAACTTAATTAAGTAACTTGGTTTCAGTCATTTTAAGGGAATGGAATACAGACCTCCCAGCACCCTGCTTTTAACACTTGAACCCGTTCTTCCCTCCATGTGGCAAATTAAATCAGAAATGTAGATGAAGATAAATTACTCTTGCTGGCACATCCACCTTCCCAATGCAGCTTGGCTGGGCTAATGAACAGGATAGCATTCCTGACACTGCAACTTCCAGTTAGGTGCTCCTGTGGTGTATAATTCCGGCAGAAGTCTGATGCCTATCAAGACACCAATACCTTTGTTCTGGGGAAAAAGCAGCCATCAAGCAGCCATCCTTACTGGATGGCACAGTTGTAGACTGTTTTCAGACTGGAACAGGTTTTGTTCAGAAGTGGATATTGTGCATGCTGCAGGGAGTTACCGTGATGTGGGAAGTAATCCAGTCAGGTACCAAGTCCAGGCTCCTAGCAAACTATTGACTTGAACCAGGTGCTTCACTATTTTCTTTTGTAGACCCTAAACATTTAAAGACCTAATTCAAAGCCAGCTGATGTCTATTCAACCTTGAATTACTCAGGGAAAGGTGGAGGGGAGGTTTGAGGTCTTCAGATGGGTCTTTTAGGGCACTGCAGTGATTCCAGGCCCTTCTCTCCAGCCTGTTTCTCTCCTCTGCCTAATGCAGCCTCATACAATATCCATGTCATTGTTTGCAAGCTACCGGTAGTGATATAAATAATGATTTTTACTGCATGATAGTAATTTTTGGTCTTGCCCTTTCTACATATTTTACCAAATTATAAGCTTGAGCGAATGAAGAAACTGTGTTTCTGTTCCGAGTAGTTGGGGGGTTGGAAGTAACAAAACCTACAACCTTACAGATGTAAAAGCAATCAAGGGTCTTAGTTTGAATCTTCCAGAAACACTGCTGGGGCATGAGATGACTTTGTCATCTCAGTACAGTTATTGCTTCCAAAACCTCATACTTACAATTTAAGTTTCAACATATACTGTTGCATTGCTGATTGTTTTGACAGAAACTTAAGACTGCTCTGAAATTTGTATTGCAGAGTCAGTGTAATGCCTTTGTGTTTTTTTAAGTCTATTTTTGCCTTTTAAAACATCAGCTACCTTGTAGCAAGGTGAAATATTTCTTTAAGAGCTGTGACTGGCTCTACCAGGGCGTAGAAGTTAGAGCTGTCATACAATATAATCTGCTTTTTTACACTCTAATAATCTTTTCCACTGTTTTCTTTCAAGGTCTTGTCTGGTCTAACTTTAATTAACCAGGATTTCATGACCATCCTGAGGAAGCAACTTTGTTTTTTTCCTGATAGATGTTGTAATTTTTTGTTGCCTTAATTTTGTGGCAGTTTCATTTGTTGTGTGATAGATGACAGGATGTTTCCTTCCTTTAAATCCAACTTTTTCTCATTCAACTTCAGGCCAACACTCATAGCTTTTAAACATTACACAGTGACTGTCTCAAACAGTACAGTTTTCAACTTGCAGATTATCGTTATATCCACATAACAATTGTTTGTTTTATTTTTTTCCTAAATGTCTTTAGTTTGCCTGTTTTGCTCACTTCTTGAAGTGTCATTTGAAATATAAGCAAATGAACCATCTACCTGTTCATCTTGCACAGAATTTGTGGTAAACAAAGGTGAAGGGTTTGGGCCCCTACCTGCCTGCATCTGTATGTGTGAGTGGGCTCTCTGGCTTCAGTGCTAGAGAACTCGGGTGAAGTGACAATTCAGCAAGCTGGGTCATGCTGCATTACTTAAACGCTTCTTTATGTTATCATTGCTGATCACAGCAAAGTGCATTTTCCTTCAGGGTTATATAAAGTTCATATGATTTCCAAGACACCAGAATGGTATTTTACGGTTAAGGGGCTCCTTGCTTTGTGGGGGTTGCCTGCTTGCACAAAGCAGTATATTAATGTTTAGACAGAGTATTGTTGCACCACATTCTGCTCCTTTAAATTCACTTTTCATTGTTTAGTTATATATACACTGTCATTCTGCTGGCCTGCTTCCCCGTGCCCACAGAAAGCTAGTTTGCTTGGGGATGTATCTAAAATGGCAAACACAAGTGTGCCCCAAGCATGGGACACCTCCGGATATTTAGGAAAATATAGTGATCTCTACAGGAAGGTACTGGCTACTGTGCAACATATCCTTAATTCTTGACATTTCATGTAGGTACCAGAGGGTAAGATGGAGCACTCACACTGCAATTGTATAGATAAATCGGAATGGTAGGAATTTCATGCAATACTATAGGTACAACTTGTGATTATTTAGCTTAGGGAAAGACCTTAGATGACTGATCAGAGTTCCCATGTCTGTGGTGCAGTCCTGATGGAGTTTCTTTCACAATCAGTTTCAGGAGCATCTGGAAGCGGGAAGAAGGAGTCTGGTTGTGTGACAGCAGCCCTTGGCAACACGTGGAGTCACAGCGTCAACACCAGGCTCATACTGCAATACCACGAATTGCCAACAAGACAGGTGAGAACCTGATGACAAAGAGAACTTAAGCCACACAAGCAGTGCCTGGTCACTTGGGCTAACTGTACTTCAGCCCATGGGGATGCTATGATCTGTGTGTTGAGAAGGGACCAGTTGCTTATCTGGGGTGGAGGGCGGTCAGTGTCCTTTGCTTTTTGGGGTTGGCCAGTCCTCCAGTGCCTCCCTGTGTTAGCATGGGCTTATCTGAGTCACAGGACCTAGTGTGTGTTGGCACAGGCATGCAAATTCCTTGAGCTTTTAGGGCATCGCTTTTAGGGTGGAGATGAAGGTAATCCCCAAAGTGCTCTTTCCTGTACAAGGGTTTTGGGGCAGGACTGGGAGGTTAGTCCTTTGGTACCATAATTGTTTTGCTGTCATCTTTTCCACTCTTTTGTGCCAAATTTCTGCTGTGACTGTTAGGATAGGGAGTGCTCTATCTCCTGCAGCTACTGTCTGCAAGCGGAGGCTTGCTGCCTTCACCAGCAAGCTTAACTTTGAGCAGTAAATATAGCAGCAATTTTCCAGAAGTGTGTCTGCGAAAAAAAGAATGGTTACCCTTTTCACTGAGAGATTTCATGCTTTTGAATGAAACATAGTAGCATTTTTGCCTGCAATCTTCACCTCTTAATAAAAAAAAAAAAAAAAAAAAAAACTGTGAAAAGCACGGAGGCAAGACATTAAGACATTTGGGGTTTGATTGAGGGAATGACTTTTTTTTTTGTTTTTAAAAACATCATAACCCATGATTTCATCTGTCCTTTGGGATATCTGCGGTTATAGTTGCTTTTGGCTTTGTCTATTCTGTTTTTGCATTGATGTAACTCTTTCCAAAGGCTGTGACCCTCAGTCTTAATGTTATTGATTTTCTGCCTGTTAAAAGTAGAGTACTGTCAGAAAAAGTGCTATGCAAAATTTGTACCATCTTATTCCTATAGCGTTATTACCACATGTGTTCTAATTAGAGCTCCTGGTTGTGCTGCCACAACACGAGGTTTCTCACTTTTAGGTTGCAGTCTTTCTCTCTCCTGGAGAGAAAGTCATTGTTTTATTCTGCCCTTTATGAGTAAAATTATAAAGATGGCACTTCTGTTCCTGCGAGGAGGGTACACTGAAGCAGAAATGGTCCTCTGGATTCTCAGGTAGCAGGTTAAGTGTGTCAAATACAGTTAGAATAGGGATCTTCTGGACTTCCATCTAAAGATTGTCCACAGTTGAATATAAACATGCTCGTACTGCTGCTCTTATTCTGGACTGTAATGAGTTTTCTCTTACTACATATGTGTGAAAAATATAAAGCTCTTCACAAATTCTGTGGATCTCTTTGGAGATACATGAGAGGTGGAATTGGCAAAGGCAAAAAGGAAAGAGTGGGCAAGAGACTGGGCAGTGTGCTTCTTCATGCTACACAAAGTCAACTAAAAAGGTTTAAGAACTTTCCTCTGACAGTGGAAAGAGGCAGCAGTGCCTCTGAAGAATATTCAAATATTTTATGTAGCTTTTCTTGATTTTGTTTGAGAAGTATTAGATCACAAGTGTATGAAGTGTTATTTTCAAGCCTGTATGATTCCGTATGTTACGATGCACTCAACAAAAGCGCAGTTTTAGTCACTGTTCTGAACTCAGTTTTATCAGCTGCATCCCCTCACTTGCACGTAACACCATAGGCTAACTCTGTTGCAGTTAAGTAGAAGGACTAAATCTGCAGTTAGGAAAAACAGCTTTAGTAAATCCTATATATGTTATTAAAGGCAAAGTAATTTGAAACAGAAGTGTGACATAAATAGTTATATATCTGTGAAGTCCATGAATGAAATAGGATATATGAATTATATCTTGCAAATACTTTCTTGCTGCTGATGTCTGTCTCCTTTTTTTAGATAAATTGTCTTTTCTTCAAGTCATACAAATCTTTCAGCAAGACATAGAGTTTCAAGTAGAAGAGGGCATCTAGAGTTACCCCACCTGCAGCAGGATTGTATTGATAAAATTACTAAAATTTTGCACACACGTTCCTTTATAACTGTTTTATACCCACTTTCAGAAATGAATTGTGAATAAAGGTTCCTCAGTTCGTGAGATGCCATTTCAGTCATCATAAGGTGGGTCTGTCAGGAGGTATTGGGTATCAGCGCTTTGAAAATCAGCACTTTTTAAGGAAGCTTAACTTGGAGGTCCAAAATTTCCAAGTCAGTAATCATTTTTACAAATTCTCATATTACTTTGTATATATATAAAGAGCTCAAGATTATCTCTGTAGTCCAAATTATCTTTCCTTGTTTTTAAGTGAAATTTAGGCCCAGGAAATTAATGAAAGAATGCAGTTGGTCAAGAGATCTGGGTGAAAACTAGGGCAGAAACAAGTTTTCCCTACTTTTCACACCTTGTGACCCTACGGAATCAGCACTGTTAAGGGCAAAACCTGTGTTTTATTCTGACTTGCACAGTGGACACATTTTATTTTCTTTAAAACATAAGAGAATTCTTTGTCTCTTCAGTCACCTTATGTCTTGAGGAAGATCTTCCTGGCTCTACCTTTTCTCCCTCTTGCCCTGGAGGCACTGGGGCTGTAGTGACAGTGATCTTCACTTACATCTGACTTGTACAGTAATAGAGCCAGCGTGTTTGTTTGCACTGGGAAATCTTACCTGTCAAGAGAGAAATCAACACTTGAGGTTTGCTGGGCCATGAGGCCCAAGGGTGGTATTCTTCAAAACGTGAAGATAAAATCATTAAGGAGGATTCAAGCAAGCAGCTTGCAGGAAACACAGGATCTCCTGGGCAGCACAGCCCCCTGTTTTGCTAGATGTTTGTTCTCACTCGTGCAGTTCTGAGCTCTGGGAGAGCTTGGGGTTGGTGCAGTAGTCTGCAGACCTAAAACTTTGGGGAATGCCAGGGCAGCAGGTGGCAGAAAGAGTATGCAACAAATCTAGGGAAATCAAGCACAGAGTTTCTACGCAGGAGTTCTTGAAATTTGAGTAAGAGATTCCTTCATTTTGTTTGTCCTGCAGACATTTTTTCAGCCAACTCTCCCTTTTTCCACCCCACCCTCCACATGTCTGTTGAACATTAATAAGACGACAGCCAATTCAGCAAAGTAATGAAATTTCTGGAACATCCTGCCTGCCTTCAAAACAATTAGCTTTGCTTTATTGCTTGGATAGGAACAGGTTTCTTAAGCTGATGAACTTTCCTCTTTTGTCCCCTTCTAGAAGGCAGTGTTCTGGTTTTGGTTTCCTCCAGGACAGAAGCAATGCCACAGAGGGGGGAGGGCAGGAGCAGGTTTGCAGGCTGCAGTGGGATTAGTTGTCCCATCAAAACCCACCGGTGTGGACTGCAGCAGGAGCCTTCCCACTGCTGAGGTGGGGCTGAAGCTGCAGGAAGTCCAAAGCAGCACGGTGGCTTAAGAGCTTGGGAGAAAGTGGGAGAAGTTAATCATTTCACACAAACGTGTTCATGAAGGGAGCTTGCTATTATCTGTTGGGTATATGGATACTGATACTTGGTTCTCCCCAAGGGGTCTTGCAAGTCATTAACCTTGACATTTGTTTTCCTGAATTCCATACATAAACATGCAGGCCCTTTGAGTTTGGGCCAAAACCAACGGGGCTGCGCTAGGAGCTATCAGGCTCCTCGGTTACCCCTATGCTTATAATTATCCTTCTTTCCTGAATTGGAGTCAGCAGGCTCCAAGATTACTGTTTTCATGTGTGCTCAGCTGTCTTTGGGGGACAGCATGGTAGGGTTTTAATAAGTTGACATGCTATATTTAACATTTTATTTTTGTCTGTTGGAGACAGGGTGCTGGATTAAGTGAAACACTGGCCAGATCTGGTATGGCAACTTCTATGGGCCTGGTTTATTTTATAGTTTCCAAGGGATTTGTGAGACTCATAGTATAGCATTAATGGCTATAATGTATTTTGAAATTCTCAGATGGAAAGTGCTATAGAAGCACAGGGTGTTATTTTATAACAAATCAGTGTGGCGTTTTAAAGAAAGAGCATTTAGGATTGAGATCCAGGCTAGAGCTTTTGAGCCATGCCAGGTAGTTGTTGTACAGCTCTTTTCCTTCTTCAGGTAAAGTGGTTCAAATGGATAAGTGTATTTATGGTGACTCAGTCTTAAAACAAAACAGAAAGCCATCTCTCATTCAGACTAATAATGCCAGACATAACTTTTGTTGTGTCCTTGGTTACAGAACAGCTGTTTTGTCTTGGTCTGCTCAGTATCATATGAATAAGCCCTGAATAAGCATTCCAAAATTGTGATGGTGAAGTAACCATGGTATTGCGTGGGGAAGGGCTGGGAGAGAGAGAAGGGGAGCAGGGACCAAGTTTCATGTGTATGTAACTTACTAAGGCTTCAGAATGTATGTGAGACTAGATTTACCTCTCCCTGTAAAACACTGAGGATAGTTGTTACATGGACTCTGTAGCTGTCTGGCTTTAAAGATAATATCAAGTGAGGTTTTCATCCATAAAAAGGGAAGCAAATAAACTGCGGAAAAAAAAAGCAATTGCAAACAGAGCAAGTAGGCTGAGAGAAAAACATGCAGTAAGTGCTGAGGTTGATTTTATAAGTTTTGCCATAATAATCTAGAGGAGAACAAGTACAGTAATGAAATTTGGAAATAGCATCAATGTTTTGTGTATCAAAGCTTAATGAAAGATTGTAGCCTCGTACTATAAAGGTTTCTGCTTACTTTGGTGAGATGGTAATGTTTACTGGGAAGAAAGAAGAAGCAATGGGATATAAGTTGATGAAAGGTACTGAAATCACTGGAAGTGATGGAAGTAATAATGTTTAATACAAATAAAATACCAAGAGTATTGGTGTGTTTTCTTGTACTAACTTTGTAACATTTATATATGCATACTAAAGCAAATGGAGATGGGGAAGAAGCAATGAAAAAAAAATTCAGTAGTTTTAAAATACTTCTGGAGTCAGATGAGGAAGCTGGAGGTGGCCACTGGTATTGAGAAATGCAGACAGAAAGCTTT